ACAGCAATCTCAGATGTCCCACCTGGAATCTGTTGAAGCCACTCCAGCAACTTGGGAGTTACTTGGGAGCCCTGAGTGCTCCTATCACAACTGGGACTACTGCTGCCTTAACTTTCTACATCCTTTTTAGTTCTGCTTTTACTCCTTGGTATTTGTCCACTTTCTCAAGTTCCTTTTACCTGATGTTATAGTCACTGGGTATTGCCACATCCACCACGACTGCAGTCTTTCGTTCCTTATATGGATGCTTGTGGATGCTCTGTGTTTTATCCAGGACCGTGGACTGTCTGACTGCGACAGGTGTACAGTCTCTGGGTGCTGCATTTCGGGTGGAATCCTCCATTCATAGTGAGTAGTTCCCTGGTCTTGACATCCATGGTGACCAATTCTTCTCTTGGCCAGGTTATTATTCCAGCTGGGTATCTGATGACCGGTAGGGCATGTGTGTTGATGGCTTGGATCTTGCCACAAAGTCTGGTTGGTTGGCCAGCACTTGCTTGTCTGTCTGGATCTTGAAGTCCCACAGGATCTTAGCCCTGCCATTCTCAACTACCCTTTGTGGAATCTCCCATCTGGACTTGGGCAAGTCCAATCCATATTCTGTGCAGATGTTTCGGTACACAATCCCGGCAACTTGGTTGTCTCTCCGTGTATGCGGTTCCTGCTAACATCTTGCATCCGGCTACTAGGTGCTGGACTGTCTCAGAGGCCTATTTGCACAGTCTGTACCTTAGGTCTTGCTTGGGGTGGTAGACTCCAGCTTCTATTGATCTGGTGCTGAGTGCCTGCTCCAGTGCTGCTAGGATTAGTGCCTCAGTGCGGTCTTTCAGTCCTGTCTTTTCCAACCACTGGTAGGATGTCATGTGAGCCACATGCGCACTCTGCCAGTGGTACACACCATGGAGAGGTTTGTCTTGCCAAGGAACCTCCTCTTTTTCTGCATCGTCAATCTGTGGAAGTCTCAGGAATTCCCTTAGCGGTTTATCTTTGGGAGCCATCTTCGTGATGTACTTGTGGATGCTCTGTGTTTTATCCAGGACCGTGGACTGTCTGACTGCGACAGGTGTACAGTCTCTGGGTGCTGCATTTCGGGTGGAATCCTCCATTCATAGTGAGTAGTTCCCTGGTCTTGACATCCATGGTGACCAATTCTTCTCTTGGCCAGGTTATTATTCCAGCTGGGTATCTGATGACCAGTAGGGCATGTGTGTTGATGGCTTGGATCTTGTTCTTGCCATTGAGCTGGGACTTCAGGACCTGTCTGACTCTTTGGAGGTACTTGGATGTTGCTATCCTCTTGCCTCTTCCTCATGGTTGCCATGTGTCTGTGGTAACCCCAGGTACTTGTAGCTGTTCTCTATATCTTCTATTTGACCTTCTGGAACTTCAAATCCTTCTCTCCTGATCATCTTCCCTCTTTTTGCCATCATCCGCCCGCACTTCTCTAGTCCGAATGACATTCTGATGTCCTTGCTGTATATCCTAGTTAGGTCGATCAGCGAGTCAATGTCTCGTTCATTCTTGGCATACAGCTTGAGGTCATCCATGTAGAGTAGGTGGCTGATAGTAGCTCCACTCTTGAACCTGTATCCATAACCACTCTTCTTGATGATCTGGCTAAGGGGGTTGAGGCCTATGCAGAACAGCATTGGGGATAGCCCATTACCTTGGTATATGCCACATTTAATGTTCACTTGAGTTATTGTCCTGGAATTGGCTTCTAGAGTTTTTTCCCACTTGCTCATCGATTTCTTGGTGAGGGCTCTTATTGTCTTGCTGACCTTGTAAAGAGCCAAGCATTCCAGTATCCATGTTTGTGGCATTGTGTCATAGGTTTTCTTGTAGTCACAGATTGGTCTGTCTGGTCTTAGAATCCCTTGTGACTGCTTGGTCTACCAGTAGTTGGTGTTTTGATCCTCTGGTATGGTTTCCAATCCCCTTCTGAGTATTGCTCATATATTGACTCATATGCCATTAGATCTTGGAGGCTATGATGCCTGACAGGAATTTCCATGATGTGGTGCAGCAGGTTATTGGTTGGTAGTTGGATGGTGCTGTACCCTTGTGAGTGTCCTTCATGACCAGTATTGTTCTGCCTTTTGTTAGCCAGTCAGGGTGGGAGCCTGTTGCTAGGTGTTCATGCAGAGCTGTTAACTTCATTATCCAGTAGCTGTGGATCATGTCAGGTCCTGGGGCTGACCAGCTCTTCATGTGTGCTGCTCTCTGTTGGATATCTTCGACTGTGATTAATTAATAGCTTGCTACACCCTGCAGGAGCCTCCTGTATGCAATTAAAACAAGTTACAGCAGACCACTAACATTTGAAGACACTTGTATGAACCCAGACCCCCTTGCAAAAGGACTCTCCACGCTCTATGGCATGCTCATGCGGAGACAACCACCCCCAAGCTTCATGGGGAAATGGAAAGTGGCACTAGGCACAACCTTCACACCTGACCAATGGGACAAGATATGTACTCTCACACTACACTGCGCACCGTAAAGCGGGACGCAGGAAACGGCCTACAAAATATTAGCACACTGGTACCGCACCCCATATCAAACACATATATGACCCCACGACTGACGACGCATGCTGGAGATGCACAAGACACACAGGCACCTACCTCCACATATGGTGGGAATGCCCACTCATCCAACCATACTGGGAGACCATATATAAAATCATTAAGAGGTTCACTGACACCACACCACTGAAGTACCCTGCAACGTTCCTCATCCACCACACCACGACAAAGGCATCAATATACAAAAAATCCCTCACAATTAGAATACTTAATGTGGCTAAAAGCCTCATCCCCATTTACTGGAAAAAACAATCCGCACCACCACTGGGAACATGGTACCAACACATGGAGGAACTCTCCCTAATGGCAGAGGGGAAGGCGCAGACGATATGGACACACTGGATCTTGACTACTGTACGCCCGGACTTCCAAGACATGTTACACCAACCATGACGGCCCAGACAAGACCACAGAATGACAGGATGGGAATCATTCCACCCCCTCCCCATTCTCCTCTCCCTCCCCTCCCCCCATGGGCCGGAGAGCAGCGACGCACAGAAGATGAGAGTAGAAGATGAGACACCACAGATAGGCAGGCTCGAGCATAGAAAATAGGGAACATAAAACACGAGATGGGGAGAAAGGATGGAAAAGTAAACACACCAGCAACAGAGAGGAAAGGGACTCCTGGTAGGTAACCCCGCGACCGCAAAGAAGGTTACCACATGCAAGAAGCAGGCAGACAACGATAAGGGTTCACAAGACACAGACCATTAAATACAGTTATCACTGCCGGCAGACCTCAGAAGGGAGATCACCCCCCCCACCTCACAGTAAACTACACCTAACCTTAGCACACAAGACAACAACAAAGACACACTTCGATCTATAGAGCTATGCCTGTCTTATTGTTTATGCGAAAGGACCTGCAAGTCCACCGAAAAAGAACCACAAAAGGACTTGTATGCCACTATAGTTTACAATGTAACACCGTATATCTAAAAAAAAACACAACAGAAATTGTAAATGTTTGGACCTGCGTGTCCACACTGTTGCCTCACCTCATGAAAATCTTGAAAAATTCAAATAAAAATACATTTACAAAAAAAAAAAATTTAATTCCCAGGTCATTATAACATAATTCCCAATTTCTCGAATTACTGATTTCTTGCTTGTCTAACAGATAAGCAAAAGGCAATATTATGGATGTCATTATGTAAAAATCCAATTTTATTTAATACATCTTTTTGACATGTTTCCTCATGTCAACCTCTGTAGTGGTTATGGTGTTAGGAGTGCCCTGGCTCCCATCCATTGTAATCAGTTGGACCATTGGCCAATGGTTTGAATTCTTACCTGGTGTCCACCAGGTACCACTTCTTGTCTTTCAACAACTGGAATCTCTCTGCCTGAGCAAAGCCCAACAGTTAAAGTCTTAACTCAATGGCTGAAAGATCAGCTAACACACTCAGCCTAGCATGGTTCGGAGAGCAAACAAAGCTCCTAGCCGGAGCTTCTTTCTCTCCGTAACCTTCGCCCTGTGGAACCAGGATTGGAATTCAAGCGGTTGGTGAAGAGTTTGACTAGAGCATGCTGTAGTGGTTATGGTAGTAAGAGTATTCCTATAATGAATGTTTAATGAATGGGTGCTCCCGGCCCCTGGGCCATCGGGCCTGTTACAGTTAGGCACCTATCGGTGCTCTACAAGGTGACATAAGCACTATAGGTTTGTTCATGAGTAGCGTTTAACACTCACTAGCATCAGCCCAAAGGGATCTGAGCATCCTGGCTCACTTCGTTATTTTTTCACATAGGTACCTGCGTGTACCGGCTTACTATGTCATAAAATTGAACAGTGCCTGTGAGCACTGACTTAATGCATACACACCGTTACAGGTACGTGCGTGTAGCCATATCAAGTCCACGACATCCAAAAGCGACTTACAAAAAACAAAAACCTGAATAAAATTTGATTTACAAAACAATTTACAGAGTAGGAGAAAAACTTAACGTAAGTTAACATGTGATTGAAAATGATACCTTTTTAAAACAAATTTTTTTAGATTTTTGCAGGCTGTTCATCACAGGCATGGGTTGGGATTTAACTCCTAAATAGCAGAAAATTGAACAGTGAGACCTCAGAGGCATGATCTATATACTAAATCTGTTTCATTAACCCTTTAAGGATGGTGGGCTTTCTATGCCGTTCTATTTTTAGGCGGTCCTAAACGCCGGCGGGCGACATAGAACGGCCCCGCCATCCTTTGTACTTACCGGGTCCCTGCCATTCCCCCGACGACAGTCGCGATCCTGGGGTCTGCCTGGGATCTCAGGCAGACCCCCCTCTGCCCGATCCCCTGCCCATGTGATTGCGGGGTCCTCACGATCACATGGCCGGAATAGCCAGCTTATGCGGTTGTTAAAGTAAATAAAAAGCACATGGATTAATTATTCCAAGTACTTTTATATACACATACACCATAAGTGTGTGTGTGTGTGTATATATATATATATATATATATATATATATATATTATATATATATATATATATATATATATACACACACACACACACACACACACACACACACACGCTTGGCACTCACCTCCAAAAAAATATAAATTTTTAACTCACATGCCTGGGTGCAAATTGTTGGCGTCAAATATATAAACAAAAATAAAAATAAAAATGCACTCACAGGTCTTCTGGTTAATAGGAAAACTGGTGCTTTAATAAATCATCTGTGTTGTACAAAAAAATCAATCGACGTTTCGACCCTGCCGGGTCTTTTTCAAGATCTTGAAAAAGACCCGGCAGGGTCGAAACGTCGATTGATTTTTTTGTATAACACAGATGATTTATTAAAGCACCAGTTTTCCTATTAACCAGAAGACCTGTGAGTGCATTTTGAAAATATATATATATATATATATATATATATATATATATATATATATATATATATATATATATATATATATATATATATATATATATATATATATATATATATATATATATATATATATATAAATGTAAATAAATTTATTTACCAGTTTTAAATTTGTCTAACTGTGTTTTGATAATATACATATTAAATTCAAAATACATTTAGAATGAGGTTATAAATACATATATGTATCTATATATAGACATTTTTTTAAATTCAACTAGTATAATGATAATTTAAGTAAGAGAGTCCAAATTGAAGGATCTTACTCAGATCAGATCATATGGTAGCCCAGGAATGAAAATTACCATGATGGCATAGCATTTGCAAAAGTAGACAACCCAAGGTATTGCGAATGGGGTATGTCCAGTCTTTTTTAGTAGCCACTAAGTCACAAACACTGGCCAAAATTAGCGTGCAGTTTCGTTTTTTTTGCATTTTTCACAGACAAAACAAATAAAAATGCTAACTTTGGCCAGTGTTTGTGACTAAGTAGCGACTAGAAAAGACTGTACATACCCTTTTTGTAATACCGTGGGTTGTCTACTTTTGCAAATGGTATGCCATAGTGGAGGTAAATTTTAATTCCTGGGCTACCATACAGTCTCTAAGGCAACATAACCAGTCTGGCAAATTTCAATGTGTATAAGCTAAAAAATGTAACGTGCTATATTTGACCCTGTAACTTTCCAAAACACCATAAAACCTTGAGGGTATGGTTTTACCCGTGAGACATCGCTGAATACAAATGTGTACTTTATTGCAGCTAACAGTATTGTGACATTCACAGTTAAAATAACATGCAAAAATAAAAACATTTTTTAATTCCCTTTTTTATGTTTTATTCATATTAAATTAGGTTTAATATACAAATATTTGATGTGACATGAAAGCCCTGTTTCTCCTGAACAAAATTATGTATGATAAGTGTGGGTGCACATAATATGAAAGAGGTGAATTATGCCAGAACAGCAAATTCAAGGTTTTGTTTACGTTTTTGTTTTGATCCTAACTTGTACAATTGGCTCAGTCCTTAAGGGGTTAAGTTAAAGATGTTTTGGGAACAGTAAAAAAAAAAAAAATATATATATATATATTAAAAAAAAGTAAAAACAGAAGGGGTAGCGCCACGGAGTAATAAGACCTATGGTACAGAGAGAAACAACTTAAATAGGCAAAATATGAAATATATATACAGAAATGTCCAGATTTTAAAGTCCAGAGGTTGGATAAGTCCAACAATAGTATTCAAATATGGATGCAAGTTAGCCAGGGGTGGTATCCAGAGGTTCAAACAGGATTTTTCTATGGGGATGTCAGAGATTATCAGCAGTGGATCCGTATTGTGGAAGAAAGGAGATGATGGTGCAGTATATATACTAGCAGGGAGAGTATTAAAATGGATAAGATATGGTTATACACTAGTTTTATGGCGCTAGAACTAGCTCCCGTATGGATAGCGTGCAGTGGTACAATCCCCACTTTAAAGGATACGTGAATATAGCTTCTCAGTTGTGTGAGGACCATCAAATATAAAAAGAAACGACAAATAGTGCTCACAGTTTAAAATACCAGGAATATAGATAGCTAATATTGTACTGTAAAATGGCACAGGAAGTAACCAATATACCTTTATTGATACACAAAATATTCAAATAAAAACCACAATGCGTTTCACCTTAAAAGGCTTTTTCAAGTGGAGGTAAGGAAAAAACTAGCCTGGCTTGTTCGGGTTTATATGGGGAGTGATGGTAATTACCTAAAATACAAATTTGGTGCCAAAATGACGTCATATAAGGGTAAAAAACAAAAACTGCATCATCTCCTTTCTTCTTCCACAATACGGATCCCCAGCTGATCATCTCTGACATCCCCATAGAAAAATCCTGCTTGAACCTCCGGATACCACCCCTGGCTAACTTGCATCCATATTTGAATACTAGTGTTGGACTTATCCAACCTCTGGACTTTAAAATCTGGACATTTCTGTAAATATATCATTTTTTCCCTGTTTAAGTTGTTTCTCTCTGTACCATAGGTCATATTACTCTATGGCGCTACCCCTTCTGTTTTTACTTTTTGTTTTACTGTCACCTAAAGCGGGGAAGAGGGATCCCCACTTCTGGGGTTAGCTGCCTCCTAATAATATTTTAAACTAGCAAGTGATCTTAGCGCTGTCCCTTTTTCTATATTTTTTAAAGATATTTTGGTGACTACAGTGCCCCTTTAAAGAGGGATTTTATAGTGTGAAGAATACTAAGTTGTGCTATAAACTAAAACACACCCATTCCTCAACACCTGGGAAAACCTCATTGATTTTCAAAGGCCATATTTGTTCTGGGTGCTTTTCATACATAAAAAGGTAAATTAAATGTAGGGCTTACCTACTAGGCACAGAATGTGCATGTAAAAGATAAGTATCAGAAATGCTAGTGTGGATAAACACGAGAAGCAATTTCGATGCATATTATGGGGAGATTAAAAAATAAAAAAATAGGTTCTGGAGAATAACCCCAATAACTCCCAAAAGTGGAGTGCTAAAGTAAGAGTTTATTGAACTTACCGTCTTTTGTCTGCATAAGTGGCATACAGTTCATATATAACAAAATATATACAAAAGTGAAATACTGTAATTAAAAATTGTAATAATGTATAAACCAAAAACGTGATTTAAAAAAAAAAAACCAATAAAAAAAAAAAAACCACCACAATAAAAAAAAGTTCTTTAAACTCCTCCGGTGTTTAGAGCCTGTTCTTTAAGACTTCTATACATGGGAGTGTGACACCTCACTATTTTTGGTTCATTCATTATTGTATGAACCAGTCTGGTTTGGAATAACATCACAGTATCATTTTGGACGGTACATTTTATGAGTTTGAATTTAAGTCTCAACATTGCCCATAAGGGTCATATATTGTAAAACGAATACTACATAATTATTTAGATTATTATGTGTCAAGACTTGTTTACAAACACATTTTACAACTCCTTCAAAATATTCTCAATCTCTTGTCTGGGTGCAGTAGTCCTTTAGTTTTAACACTGCAATGCAAAACATTGTAGTTTTGAAGAAACAGCAATGTCTCCACTGCAGGGTTAAATATACCTCTAGTGCGGTCTTCCTTCGCAGCTTAATGGTCTCAGTTATAAAGTCTACAAAAATGTTTCCTCCAGGTCTCACCTGCTTCAGTGTCAGAGTCTTTCAGATCTGTGTCTTCAGTACTAGTAAGGGTCTTTTGCTTTTTCTCCGGAGCTCCTCCATCTTTAAGAGATGTTTTTTGGACAGACTGTTGAGAAGTTAGACATATAATTGATTTTTTTTGCTTGAGGATGGTTGGCTCGCATAGAAAGCTATGTAAAAAATTGTAGTGTCAGCAGATATTTAACTTACTCTGAACTTCCTACTCCACTTTCTTCTCTGTTGCTTAATTCCACCACCAAAGCATGAGTTCACTTTAAAGGCTCTCAATCCTTGATGTTCAGTCAAATCAGGAAATTGTCCTGGAGTAAAGAGAGGAGGGGGTCGACTCAACCCTCTCACAACAGCAGAAGCACCAAAATCTCCCCTTGGGTATCCTCGGTTTCCGGTCACCGCTCGCTGTTGCGGCAATAAAAAGCGCTGCTCCCTCCTGCTATCATATCGGACATCTGGTTCAGAATATCCATATTTAAAGTGATGCGTAACATCATAGGAGCTGCATCAAATAAGTGGCAATAGATAAATTAGGAAAAAATAAAGAAGGCAGAATAAAGGGTGGGGGAAATTGTGAGGGAAAAAAAAAACCTGGGATATTAACGATCACATTATGGTAACAAACACCAACAGAAAGTATAAGGTATCAAATAAGGATTTTTCTGGTTACCTTCCAGCAGACGAAAAGGTTCCATCGGAGGCATCTCTGAAGAGTCCAGAATGCGTAGCCCTGTTACCAGGGTTTGTCAAGTATGAGGTTTGCCAAGAGTTTTCAGTGAAGGAAGTGGGGCCTTGACCATAGTCATAAGTGTAGTCATAGAATGCATAGCCTTCATAAGGACAGATTAAGAAACAAAACAAAAAAATTTAAAAAAATGTTTAAGTCATAAGAAAATTTTTTAAATTTTTTTTTTTTTTTTTTTTAATAATGCACCAAAACAAAATAATATAATGTTATAGCAACGATTCTTCCAAAATGATGAAAAATTACTAAAAGCTGCACACAGAAAATACAAGACATTTACCACAAAGTTTAAGAGAAAAAAAAAAAAAAGTGTTTGAGCTGAAACTAATAATTACAAACTATTGCAGTCAAATGACTAAAGCAAGTATGCAGACAATTTTGCAGCAAATGAAAATAAGTAATGCAAATGTACAGATGGTCTGCCTCTATTATAAAATGAAACAGGCAAATCAGGCATGTTTGTTGACGTAGCTGTGGTATGGACTGATCACAACCTGCTGCGGGTGTCAGGTAACAATGATAAACTGCTCCATTGGAGCCTTATCCTCCAACAGTATAATTTCACTGTCCAACACAAAAAGGGCAGCTTGCATGGGAATGCAGATGGTCTGTCTCTGCAGGGGGAAGTAGAGGGTTAATGATAGACAGATAAAATCAGCCTGTGGTTGAATTTTTCTGTCCACCTTCTTAAGGGGGAGGTGTCATGCCAAAA